TTTATTATTAAAAAAAAAGAACTTGTGTTTCAGCGGTTAGAAATAGAAAAAAACAACAAACAAGAAATGTATCAGAAATGACAAATAGTATGAAGAGCATTAAACTTGAGTGTGTGCTAATGTGACCAAGTAACTACTTTAGATTGACTGCTTAAAGGAGGGCTTCTCAGAGGAAGTGACATCTCGGTTGACACTTGAATGACAGAGCAGACAGTCTTACAGAGATCAGGAAGAGGAGCATCCCACGCAGAAGAAACAGTTCCCAAAATGATCCCAAGGCCAGAGCAGAAAAACCAGTGTGGCTGGAGAGGAATTTTCAAGGAGGAGAGTGGCATGATATATATGAATTTAAGAGGTAGCTAAGAGCCAGGATAGGAAGGAAGGAAGGAAGGAAGGAAGGAAGGAAGGAAGGAAGGAAAGAAGGAAGGAAGGAAGGAAGGAGGGATGGTGGATGGAATAGAAGGGGAACAGAAAGAAATGAACAAGAGCACTAATTTCAGGTAATCAGAGATTCTTTTATATGTTTATCTTTCTGGAAGTTTTCTATTCACAATCCTGTCTTATCAAGTACTGAAAAATGAATATAACTCTTATTATTTGGTATTTTAAGAAGGTGCCATCCTTTAGGTTATCACCTTAAATTATCAATGACCACAGGGTAACACTGAAAAAAATAAATCTGTACAAAATGTAACAAAGTGGGGTGAATTAATTAATTTCAAGAGATATCCAGGAGGTGAATTTTCAGTAACACTTGAGTCTGTTTTGTACCGATTTGCCCTTTACTCCTCACAGAGAGTAAAAGATGCTCTTAATGATTTACATGTATGATTCATCAATGTTTTCTGGTACCAAAAGGATGATTTAAATGATTCTCAAAGTTCTCTTATCTTCTAATATTTACCTGTTATATAAGACTTTATTATAAGCATTTTTTCAAAAGCAATGTATTTTTAACATTGTTGGAAATGAAGCCCAAGCAATTAAACTGTAAATAAGGGGACCCATTGCCCTCTGTGACTTCACACAAATCAGATCATCAATCAAAATCTCAGTTCTTCCTACAAACATTGGAATATATGCTTAGGCTCCAACTAGAATTCTCAATAAAGAGCCCTGGTTTTATTGGATAAAATTGTTTTTATAAGTATAACCTTGATATTTTACAAATTTTAATTGATGACAGATTTTAAAGATGACATTACACTGACCTTAGGATTACTCCCATATCACCCATTCCCAACCAGAAGCTTCCTTGTCTAAAGTCCACAAAAACTATCAACAACCACCCCATTTGATGGTGATTTGAATTTGCAAATACTTTCTCTCCAGCAATCACAAAGCCATATCCAGAAATATTCATTAGTAATTGTATTTGCATCTATTAAATGTAGATTAAGAGGATTTTATTTTAACAAGATTTTATTTACCAACTAATTAGGATGACAATTTATTACAAGTAGGAAAATAATTAACTTAGAATTAATAGAGTAGTATAGCTTTTCTAGTTATAAGAAAGAAAATAATTTCTCTCTCCTCCATGGGCCTTGTTTTGCACAGCAACTTACATCAGTCATTGTTATTAATTTCACATTTTTACTTACTCTTTATTTTCCCAGACATTTGAATTCTGGTGCTGTCAATTTCATAAAGGTCTTTTAAAGATAAATGTGCTATGTATCAAAAGCAGTTGTTTAAATAAGCTTTCGGTTCTGACAGCTTTGCTCTTGATACTTTTCACAGCAGCAGCTAGGAGAGCATTTTACCCTCAGTCATGGCTTTCTTTGTAATGCTTCCTTTCTTTTCCCTCCAGTCAAAGTAAATATGTTCTTACAACCAGCATTATCCTGCAAAAATGTTTCCTCATGTTAATGAATGTGACCATCCGTATAATGAACAACAACAAATAAATAAATGGAATCCCTGTACTCCCTTACAGAATGGGGAAAGTGATCACATTGTTTCCTTCATCTATTGGTCAGTGCTATCTCAATATTATCTTTTGGTCAAGTGTCAGGAAGGTAAATAAAAAAATAAGGCTTCTTCAGCAGCATGATGATTAGATCATTAGCAAGCCAAGCAAAAACTTAACTTGAAAATATAATGTTTAGAAAGTATAAATGCAATTAACTGTACATTCCCACCTCTGACATTTTCAAAGATAATTTCATCTTCCCCGTTCTTCCATTAAGAAAAAAAAATTGTTGTCTTAAGATAAAAGGGCCACAAAACTCCAAGACTTAATCTCTGCTTCAGGCTAATGACAAAAAATATTCTTCATTTTTTTTAGTTCACATTGTGAAAAAAATTCCCTTGACAGAAAATGTTCTGAACTAGACTCTGAAAGGCAAATGTATTTGCTTCATTTTGGTTTTTCAGAATGACAAAGGAGAGAAGAGGAGTCAAGAAGAAACATAAAAGTTGACCTAAAAAAGATCTGTTTCAAATATTAAAATATTTTTTAGAACATTGAACAACTTCACATTTCAAATGTTATGCTATAAATAAATATTTGAATGACAGTACACCTTACCCTTGTGCACCCAGGATTAAAAATCATATCCTATTTATTTCTAATCATGTCACTGAACTGCTCCTATCTTCTGGACTGCAGATAAACGACTTATTCATAATAACGTGACACAGTTATGTATGATTTATTGGTATGAAATAGAAAGGGACTTTGTCCTCAGTGTAAGCTGCCCAGTGCAAGGGCCTGACCAGTGCATGGTATCGGCCCATCTGCAGCCAGCCAACTGAATTATCCTTCTCGTAAGAGGGTAGATTTTTCACAGCATAATTTCTACTCTAACATAAATTACCAATAGCAATTGCCTCTGCTTTAAGACACTTCTATATTCTAGTTCATATAATTCTATGACTTCAACCTTATCTTGGACTTTGAACAATCTCATCATGGTTTTTCGGGGTTCAAGGAGAAAAAAGACAGGTAGACAAAGTACTCCTCAGTTTTTGTTTCTTTTACAGGAGAAAACACTACTTTTGACAAGACAATGGGTAGCAAAGAAATCTTCTTGATTGTATATACCTTATCTTGGACTTTTAACAGTCTCATCATGGTTTTTCAGGGTTCAAGGAGAAAAAAGACAGGTAGACAAAATACCCCTCAGTTTTCGTTTCTTTTACAGGAGAAAACACTACTTTTGACAAGACAATGGGTAGCATAGAAATCTTCTTGATTGTATATACCTAAAGCTTTTCCTTTTCTCTGATTTTTCCTTCCATTTCAATAATCAGGCCAGAGAAGGAAAAAAGGAATGTCTAGTCTAGTTGTCACGCTCCACATCCTATAATTTTGCTGCTGTTTTTCCCCTAGCCAAGTGGTGCCATTAATCAGCAGGAAAAATATGCAGCAAACTATCTATACATCCTCATATTATCCCCAACGGAGAGCTGAGAATTAGAAAGTTGCTTCTGAAAGAACTTCTGTCACACTAAAGACCTACAGTAGCATGCCTAGCACCTGCAGCATCACTATTACTCTGGGTTAGTTTGAGCCTTGGCTATGACTAAGTATATAAGGAAAATTTAGTGAATTATTTGCTTACTGAATGAACATCCATTTAAAAACCGCCTTTCTGTATAGCCAAAGTCTTGCTTCCAGAATAATTATAGTCAGTCTGAGACACATTTTTTACCCAGAAATTTCAGTTATTTTTCCTACTTAAGAGGTTTATAAATACTGTCTTAAAAAAAAAAAACTAAAAGTGGACCAAATCTACTGCTGATATATTATATTGACAGTGCAGTTTAGTTTAGTACACTGTGATTTCTATTGATTGTTATATTTCCTTTGTTCAGTGAACCTGTTCCTTTGATTATATTGATTCTAGTAGTCCCAGTTATTTTGACTTGTTATCACATGGGTAGTGATTTAAACGACTCTACTATGTAGTGTTAAATTAATCATACATTTGATTGTTTGAAAGTTAGTTTAAATCTTAGAATATGCATTTTGAAACAATGAAAATACCGAATCTTCCATTTTTTTCTCAAATTCAGTTTATTTGGATCCTGATTCCATTACTGAATATTTAATCCTGATATCCTGTATGATACACATATGAAAAGATAGTTGTATCAATACAAGTTTATTCTGCATATGTGTCATTATGTGTTATGCAAATATGTGGCAGATCTTGTAATTCACATTAATGTTTAGCTACAAAACCAATACCGAACAAAAATTACTGGTAAGTGAAAAAGGCTTTATGTGTAAACTCAATCTGCATATTAATAATAATAATACAAATTTAATAAGTAGATAGTCATGAGACTTAGAATTTAGATAAATGGAATAAAATAAGACAGAACTGAAGTCATGACTAATCCCAATAACCATTTCCTACTCTATATTTGCATATAAAATAGAATGTAATTCCCTGGTACCATTAATTTTTTTCTTCTTAAGCAAAAGTAATTTACTATCAAATATTTAAGAAATCAAAATAAGAAATTACTTCTGAAAATGCAAATTATTTAAACAGATGGCAATTGCTACACATCTCAAAGGAGAGTTTTAAGTTTACTAATTTTTAAAAAATAAGAGTGTAAAACAACATACAAAGAAAGCTATGCCAAAGTAAGCATTGGTCTGGAACTAGACCACCTTACCATCAGTAGAGAGAAGACGTTTAAAACATTTCATAGTTGATGTTAAACTCATTCAACTATAACCACAAAAGAAAACACGATTCTAGCATTTGTACTCAGTACTTTGAAATATATCCCCAAACAGGTTTTGCTCCCCTCCCTAGTCCCAGCTCCCATAGTTTAAGGCCTTGTTGAACAGTTTCAATGCACTTTTTTAGAAACTAGTAAGAAGTATATACACCTTTCTTCCTAGACAGGATGGTCAATCACAGAAAGCTATATAATGTTGCAAATTTGGTGGGAATACCAAGTTTGATTCAAACATGAGCTGTAGTTGCCATGCTTCAGCGAAAATGAATCCTGAGAGCCCTCAGGAGATTATGTACATCCCCAAATAGATGACTTATTTCATTCCACCAACATTGGCATCAGGAAGAAAACTGGCAGGCACATATGCTGGCCAAGGCTGCAGGCACCTCAGACTTAACTCCACAGACACACCTAGAGAAAAGGGGAGAAAACTGGCTTTTGCAGATGAAAGGCTTCTGAGTACTTCTGTCAACAGACATCTTATGGTGAGAGAAGGATTAAAATGAAAGTGAACATCTTTGTTGGTGGAAATGGCATCGACAAAATTGAGTCAATAATCTGATCATTTCTCCCTCCCAGTGTTTGATTGGACCCAAGGTAAACTGCAACAAAAAATGAACAACATCAGAAAGTACAGATCAGCTTAAGGGTCAGGGGAGATAAATTGGAGAACACAGTATCTACCTGTGCTTTTTTCTGACTTTAGAAATAAAATCAAATCCCCATAAGACGCTTTAAAGTTCCAGCAAGTAACAAGACAAAAAATAACATTTTAAAGTGCTAATCTACCAATTCTAGATATCAACAACTTTGAACATTCTGGACCTCACGTTTTCCACAAAAATCTGTTGTAATGGGTATTGTTTGTCTATCACAAAGATTTGATTCTAAGATGTTTTGATCAAACCTTGGATAGCTTTGGTCAACTCTCCACAAGTTATTTGTTTTCCTGAAGATCTTTCTGTGCCAATATCTGAAATGAAAAAGATAATAATTATTTACGAGGAAAATGAAATTCTTAATGAAGGAGTTCCATAAGGTTCCTGTAAACTTAGCACAATAACTGGGCTTTTCTAAATTTTATTTTTGAAAATTTTAATAAAAAAATACAAATCGTGGGATCCCTGGGTGGTGCAGCGGTTTAGCGCCTGCCTTTGGCTCAGGGCGCGATCCTGGAGACCCGGGATCGAATCCCACGTCGGGCTCCCGGTGCATGGAGCCTGCTTCTCCCTCTGCCTGTGTCTCTGCCTCTCTCTCTCTCTGTGTGTGTGTGTGTGACTATCATACATGAATAAAAATTAAAAAAAAATTTAAAAAAAATTAAAAAAATACAAATTGTGACATAAGCTATTGGAACATTTTAAACAAAAGATGTTTACAGAAAATAAATATGAAACAAAATGTAATGTACTAAATTAAAATTACATTTTAACATATTTTAAAGCTAGCTATATATGTCTTCCATTAAAATAGAGCATGGCAAATACTGCATTCATTTTATAAACAACCAAAGTAAGAGGTTAAAAGCAATTTAAAGTGCTCCCACACAATCTGAAAATAAGTTTCCAATAATTGAATCCAAAGTTCTTGAGATCATAAAAATCTGTAATAAGAAAGTTTTAGGATCAAATATAATAAAAGTATAATTTATGCCTATCAAAAACAAAAAAGCTTTTAAGCATTATGATAGTTAAACTCCTTCAGTGCATTAATCCTCTAATAACGGTTTCAGTCAAGGGAATGTTGTGAGGTCAGGTTTGAATTTTTTTTAACTTAGTTTGAAATTGTACATATTCTCTTTGAATAGAATTTCCTTTATGTAGCACCTAACTCTCAAGGAACTCAAAACACTTCACAGATTTATATCTTGACCTTAGTTTTGTTCATTGTTGCTGTTTTATTTTTTTGCATCTAGTGAGAATCCGTGTGAAAGGCAAACCACTAGTTCAGTGATACGTATCTTAGCAAACTCATTCTTGCTAGTAGAGAAAATAATGCTGAGAAATTAAAGAATGAGTGGTGGCTTACCAACTCTAAAACTTCTATTTCTGTTTGGAGAGCTTCACAAGCACTTTGCATGTCATCTTCCTTATAAAGTTGTAATTCTTTTTTAAGTCTGTATTAAAGGAAAAATTCACCCTGTGAATTCAGCAATAAACTTTCATAATAATTTTTTAAATTATATGGATAGTGGCAGATTAGCAGATTCTATCATCAGAATTTTAAGTTAACATTAAAGAATGTGGAAAGAAATTTTAATTCTCTGTAATTCTAAAAAGACTGTAAAAATTCTGAAGAAGTACAAAGCTCCCATAAAGAAAATAAGGCAGACTAAATAAATAATAGACATTTTTATGTTAATTAAAAGAGCAACATGGTTTAGTGGGAAAAATATAGTACCGTCTGAAGAGTTCTGTTTTAGTCCTGGCTCCTAACAAGCTTAAAAACCTTGGCTAAATCATTTAGCCTCTCTGAACTTCACCTGAAAAATTTTAATTACAAGAAAAAATGACCTCTGAGATTTCTTCTTGAACTAAAATTAAACATCAACTTTACAGTACACATATGTAATTTTAATTTTAGAGTGAGAAAGCAGGATCAATATTTCTTCCTTCCAGTTAAATCTTTAATCCTTTGAATATTCAGAAATTTAAATAAATTATGCCTATATTTAATGTAAATAATTGTGAGAAAAACAATCTTCTATTTCTAGCATTTATGACTAACATTCCTTCCAAAAAGAAAAACATAAGCAAGAGCCATGAGCTGTGGTCAGAGATGTAGAGAGCTAGGGTAGCAAGGAGATGAGGCTGCCTTAAAGGCTAATACCAAGAGCAACATTGATCTCACAAACCTGGGCCCGCTGGGCCAGCCACAGGTGAAGAGAATAGATTGAACTGGACCTCTGCTGACTCCAACTCTTAAGGAAAGTCTGAAAGGGGTTCTAGGTCACTGGCATTCCCAGTATACTAGTAGAAGCAAAAGAAAATCCTCTCCAAAAGAAAGGATTAACATATTCAGACCTACAGGCCTCCCAGATTAAGAAACCATGAGCTCACATCAGAGATCACCAAGCACCGAAGAAGGCAAGCCACCATAAGTAAAAGTCAGCAGAGACAATAAACAATAGATTATGTCCATAACACACAAAGAACTACAAGTCAATAAGAAAAAGACAGCACAATGGAAAATGGTCATACACACACACACACACACACACACACACACACACCTCTACCAGATTATTCACAAAAGATATACACAACTAACAAAAATATGAAAAGGTGGTCAGCTTCATTAATTATCAAGTAAATACAAAAGAAAAACATAATGAAATGCTATTACACATCCAGAAGAATAGCTACAATGAAAAACAAGCATTTCCAAGTACTGACGAGGATGTGACTATATGCCCTAGAGGCTGCTCCTTCCCACTGGGTTGCAGAATGCAGATGAGAAGTGTGGCTAATTCCCAATGAACATGTATGTAGGGTGAGCAAGAAATAAACACTCATTGTAAATCACTGACATTTTAGGGTTGTTTGCTTCTAAAGCATAATTTAGTCTAGGCCACAGAACAAAATACAAAAACTAACTAGAGAGTCACCAGGAACTGAGCACTGATGGCCACTAAACACACCAAAAACAAGAGGCAATAGCCTCCTGATGGAAAAACACCACCATTTATGATATAGCTTTGCCAAAAAATTACAGCTGAAATTTGATCAAACTTCAATTACCAATTCATAAAAAATATATAAAAGTCAAACAAATATTTTTAACCATACAATAGGAATATAATCAACTACATCCAAATCATGGGAAACTCTACAGGATAAAATATATCATTTCCTCACCAAATAAATTACAAGTTAAAAAAAGAAAGAAAGAAGGGGGATTTTCAAGATTTAAAACATTTATCAGGGGGATCCCTGGGTGGCGCAGCAGTTTGGCGCCTGCCTTTGGCCCAGGGCGCGATCCTGGAGACCCGGGATCGAATCCCACGTCAGGCTCCCTGCATGGAGCCTGCTTCTCCCTCTGCCTATGTCTCTGCCTCTCTCTCTCTCTCTCTCTCTCTCTCTCTCTCTCTCTCTCTGTGTGTGACTATCATAAATAAATAAAAATTTAAAAAAAAAATAAAATAAAACATTTATCAGTTGATTGTCATGTGTAGACCTTATTTGGAACTTAATTCATGCAAACAAAAAAATGACACCTATAAATTGTAAATGTGAACATTGACTGGATATTTGATGATATAAGTTAATTGCTCTTAATTATTTTATTTTATTTTTTTCTTAATTATTTTATGTATAATAATAGATTCTAGGTATGTTTTTTAAAAGTTCTTATTTTTTAAGAGAAACAATAAGATAATGATATATATGATTAGCTTCAAGTAATACGGAGGAAAAACAAATAGAGATATAGATGAAACATGATTGGCCATAAACTGTTAAATAACTGTTAAAGTTGAGTGATGAGTACATACAATTCATTATATTTTTCTTTTTTACCTATGTATGTGCTTTAAATCATCTATAATAATTCTTTTAAGAAATAAGAGTTCAGCAAAGATAGTGGCCATAAAGTCAACATACAAAAACTTGTGGTATTTTCATGCTCAGCAATGAACAATTATAACATGTCATTTAAAATAAATACGTTATTTATGAGAGCATCTAAAACTACAAGGTACCTAAAATTAAAACTTACCAAAGATGTAAAATATAAAAAAAACCCAGAAAATTGTAAAGTTTTATTAAAAAGTATTTTAAAAGACAAATTGAGATATCCTAAGTTCATAGAGGGGAAGTCTCAGTTTCATGAAGATATAAAGTCTCTCAAAAGCAACTATAATACTAAGTGCAATTGTAACCAAAATCACAACAGATTTTCATGAATATGGTAAGTTGATTCATAGATGTATATAAAAGGTAAAAGGCAAAAGGCCAACTATACACTCTTGATGAAGACAAAAAAAAAAAAAAGACAAAGAGGAGTGTCCAACCTTGTATCATGACTTATTACAAACTACCAGTAATTAAATAGCTAAAATGGAATAATATGCATTTAGTAGTAATTAAGGCAGTTCTGAGCAGAAATGAACAAATTGCCCAATAAAATAGAATAGATAACATATGAATTATATCCATAACATATTATTATTTTTGTTTTTAAAAGATGTGACATTTAGATTACCAGAGGAATTATATCCATAACATATTATTTTTGTTTTTAAAAGATGTGACATTTAGATTACCAGAGGAAGAAGAAACCATTCAAAAAATGTTGCTGGGACAATTGGTTATTCATGTGCAAAAAATGCAAATGGATCGTTTTTTTAAAAATAAATTTATTTTTTATTGGTGTTCAATTTGCCAACATAGAGAATAACACCCAGTGCTCATCCCGTCAAGTGTCCCCCTCAGTGCCCGTCACCCATTCACCCCCACCTCCCGCCCTCCTCCCCTTCCACCACCCCTAGTTCGTTTCCCAGAGTTAGGAGTCTTTATGTTCTGTCTCCCTTTCTGATATTTCCCACACATTTCTTCTCCCTTCCCTTATATTCCCTTTCACTATTATTTATATTCCCCAAATGAATGAGAACATACACTGTTTGTCCTTCTCCGATTGACTTACTTCACTCAGCATAATACCCTCCAGTTCCATCCACGTCGAAGCAAATGGTGGGTATTTGTCGTTTCTAATGGCTGAGTAATATTCCATTGTATACATAGACCACATCTTCTTTATCCATTCATCTTTCGATGGACACCGAGGCTCCTTCCACAGTTTGGCTATTGTGGACATTGCTGCTAGAAACATCGGGGTGCAGGTGTCCCGGCGTTTCATTGCATCTGAATCTTTGGGGTAAATCCCCAACAGTGCAATTGCTGGGTCGTAGGGCAGGTCTATTTTTAACTCTTTGAGGAACCTCCACACAGTTTTCCAGAGTGGCTGCACCAGTTCACATTCCCACCAACAGTGTAAGAGGGTTCCCTTTTCTCCACATCCTCTCCAACATTTGTGGTTTCCTGCCTTGTTAATTTTCCCCATTCTCACTGGTGTGAGGTGGTATCTCGTTGTGGTTTTGATTTGTATTTCCCTGATGGCAAGTGATGCAGAGCATTTTCTCATGTGCATGTTGGTTGGCCATGTCTATGTCTTCCTCTGTGAGATTTCTCTTCGTCTCTTTTGCCCATTTCATGATTGGATTGTTTGTTTCTTTGGTGTTGAGTTTAAGAAGTTCTTTATAGATCTTGGAAACTAGCCCTTTATCTGATACATCATTTGCAAAAATCTTCTCCCATTCTGTAGGTTGTCTTTTAGTTTTGGTGACTGTATCCTTTGCTGTGCAAAAGCTTCTTATCTTGATGAAGTCCCAATAGTTCATTTTTGCTTTTGTTTCTTTTGCCTTCGTGGATGTATCTTGCTGTACATATAAACGAAATCAATGCCACATAGACTAAAGACAAATGTAAAAAGCAAACTTTACAAATTATTAGAGAAAATATAGGACATTATCCTTCTGATCTTAGGTATGTAAAGAGTTCTTGAAAAAGACACAAAAATGCGAATCATAAGAAATTATTGATAATTTCAACCATAGTAAAAGGAAGAACTCTACTAAAATAGTATAAAGAGTATAAGGAACTCTAAAAAAAGAAAACAAAAACAAAAAGCTTCATAAATTGGGAGAAGATGTCTTCAACATGTAACAAACAAAATCCAAAATTATTAAAAAACTAGAAATACAAAACTTCTAGAAATCAATAAAAGACAAATACCCAATCTCATTGCAAAATAATTATGAGGCATTTTACAAAAAAGGAAACACATGGCCTATTAACAGATGGAAAGAAGCTCAGTCACATGGGTAGCCAGGGCAATACAGATGAAGATCACAAAATGCCATCATATATCCCTGAGACTGGCAAGAGTTTTAGTAAGTGTGAAAATAGAGTACTGAAGAGGATGGAGTTCAGCGGAAATTTTATAATGTACTAATATAAATATAAACTGGCTTAATCATTTTGGAAAAGAGTTTGTTATTACCTTGTAAAGTTCAACCATCATATACCTTATACACAGTAATTCTATCAGGCATATAAC